ATTTCCCCCGTGAGGCACGAGGCGACCACATTTCTGTGTTCGTGTCACACGGGGGAATCGGTTTTCTTTCCATGCAAGTAGTTGAACAGACAAACAAATTTATTGTTTCACGCAGATTCAAACTCGGGGCCTCTCAGCTTAACCATATAGCAACAGAGGTGGTCTAATATTATATCACGTAGTAATAAAGGTTTCTGAGAAATCCCAAGCATTAAGCAGTTAAAGTAGGAACGTTCATCATTTTAATTTAAACTCATAATAAAAATAAAGAAAAACGAATTTCAACTGGCTCCTTTGAACAATGGTAGCAATAAATGATAATAAGCTAAAAACCTTTATATTGACAATCTGGAAGGTAGAAATGTTGATTCCTTCAACATTTTAAAAAGCCGTGCATTATATACTTATTCGCGTTTCGGTTAGTAATGTACCTATATGTTGATCGAAGTTCAAAGCTGGCATAAGCTAAGTTGTGTTTGCAATTTTCAAAGTAACAATAAATCTATACCAAAACAATCTATGTCGATATTAATATTGTCTAATTATATCATAATTAGTGAACTTTGGCCCGTAATATCTGTTTGTTTGATCGCGAGGGCGGCAATTAGCTATTGTTTGTGCGCAAGACATCCCGGCTGACTTGTTTGTCTAATTAAATGTTTTGTTTATTCCCGATAAGTCTCGCTAAGTAGGCAAGAATTTGTAAACATATTTTAATGTGAAATTATTTGCTCAGTTGTTCTGATTATCAATGCGTATTTTATTTATTAAAACATTGATCTAGAATCCACAGCGTCCCGTGCTTTAAGCACGGTACGATACGGTAGATCAATTGGTTAGACTTTTGAGCAAGAGTAGGCTGTAAATGATTTTTTTAATACAAATTAACGTTAAATTTACGACGCGACTTGAACCGGCATTCACAGCGTTCCGGGCTCCTGCTCTAAACAGCGGTGACAGTGAAACGGTAGCTCAATTGATAAGAGCAACAGCTCAGTAGGCCGATTCTACAAATGTAATAACGTTTCGATCATGTTGCAGTCACGCTGCGATTAGGTTTCGATTCAGCGCCGATGGTATTCTCTTAATTTGACAACTGCGCATCCAATAAAGCCAGCGAATTGTCAAATACACGCTGGCGTCACGTAAACTTGACGCGAACGTGTTTGACGTTGGACGAGAATACAACAACAAAACGTCACTGCAACTCCGCTGCTGTTTAACTTATATTCAAACGAGAATCGACCTGCTGAGAACGCCGTGGATTCAAGACATGTCCGTATTATATTTTTTAAAAGCTAAAATCGATTTTTAGTTTATATAATGTCACCACGTGCGAAAAGTATTAAAATTTTCAATAGTTTTCAATACTTGAAGCGACACGGTAGCTCAAGTGGTTAGAGCAGCAGAACGGAATGTTGTGTACACTGGTTCAAGTCCCTCTCGTATCGTAATTTGCAAAATACATTTTTAGTAAAAACACCTATCACATATTTTACAATTTAAATGAATGCTTTGAAACAGAAAAGGAACTACGTATATATGGAGAAATGCTAGTGAAATCCAAGTTAGATAACGCCACTCCCACACAACACAATATACGGTAGTTAATATAATTGAAAGCAGAATCCCGATGCACATAAAGCCAATACACGCAGCTCAGGTTTCATGGGGAGAGGTACAAGCGTCCGCCATTAACTCAGATCCGGTGTCGGGTTGCTGGTGCGCTCCGCTTGGATCCCGCGAACGATACCTATCGATCTAAGCCAAAACTTCAGTACAACAGCGAAACATGTAGACCTTATGTAATAATATTTAAAAAATACTTGTCATAAGATAAAAACTAACGATATTACACTTTAAAATTGAACCTTAATACATAATTTGTACGATCTACGTCGTACATACTCTTGTGTCTTGCTATGCATTTTTTAACATCTATATTTTACAAAGCTAAAGAGTTTTTTTTGTTTGATCGAGCTAATCTTAGGAACCACTGGTTTTAATTGATAAAGTTAGGGGCGAAGAAACATTTTTGGGGGCTTACGTCTTACGTCTCGTGCGCTACGAAAACCGAAACCGATATATAAAAAATATGTAGGATTTTTTTTCTACGTTATTCTATACCTATGTCTATCTTTTAGGATTAACCGATAAGGGCCGCTTTGAGGTGAATCAAAATTTCGACAAAATACTTCATATTATGGTAAAACAACGTTTGCCAGGCCAGCTAGTGATTTATAAAGCTGAGGATATTGTTTGAGAAAATATATTTTGATTCCCCAAAATAACTATTCCACTCGGACGAAGTCGCGGGCTCAGCTAGACATTTGTATAATAGCAAGTATTGTAGCGTTAAATAACGAACATCCCAATTTTATTTAGACCTCACACAGTTCTATTATATAAGACTCTATATTGAATTTAGTAGCTCTCTAAACCACTTTAAATGTTTTATAACATCTCCCTTTGTATGTAATGCTTGTAAAGTTTCGTATCTCAGGTGCAACTCACGAGTGCAAAGTGGAATATACTAAAATTACCCTCATCCTCCGTTGTTCCAACAGACACGTAATAATATACGATCGAAATAACTAAACGCTCATTTACTTTGCTCATATATAGAGAGTTACAAAAAAAAATTATCGTTTAAATACTGTCTATAGTTTACGCGAGTAGTACACATTTAAATAAAACACTTTAACGGTTTAAAACGCGATATATTAGTTAAACTTATTTGATGAGCAGCCGTGGTCACGGGGAGACTCAAACATGCAGATGCAAAGCATTCGAAACGTCGGGCCGAAGTTAAAAATCATTTTCAAATAAGTTTAACTAATATATCGCGTTTTAGACCGTTTAAAAGTAGGTACTCCTTGGTACTATCACTAGATTGGTGGGCGGTTATTTAGTTTTTAAAGCATAAACTTTTGTTGTTATTTAAACAACAATATATAAATACGACTAGATAGATGAAATAGACGATTAGATTGAAGTACTTGTCGAAGTTTTATATTCGTTGAAACTTAACTTAATATTTAGTGTTTTAATTAAAAGAATGAAACAAAAGCAGAATAATGCGAAGGACTCATGGCTAACGAACATCCTACTAATATTACGTGAAAGTTTGTATGTGTGGATGGATGTTTGTTACTCTTTCACGCAAAAACTACTGAATGGATTTCAATTAAACTTTCCAATAATATAGCTTATACATCAGAATAACACATAGGCTACAATTTATAAAGATATTGTGTGAACTGTCCAAAATATGACATTAAGTGTCAAGTAACTAGGACCTACCTTTCTGCGCGCTATTTTGGCGTGCGCTGCCATACACATTAGTTGCACATATTTATGTCATAATGTTAGTTCGTTTCTTCGCCACGCTAATATTAGCTACTCCAAATACTAATCCTGCGTAGACGAAGTCACGGGCACCAGCTAGTATGAAAATAAACTATTCCGCTATTGTGCTATAAGACAAAAAGACACGATAAAAACTTATTTATGATTTGTCTTTGGATAACTATATTTGTTGTTTGTAGTTTCTACGTCCTAGTAATTTCTTCTTTTTTTATATTATAACACTATTATTGATATTATTATTAACATGTATGTCATGACATTACAATTTTTATAACCCTGTGAAAAATAATAATGTTTCTAGTACAACAATGTCATTGTCTGAATCATATTTTATTATTTTATTTGTACACTTTAAATGAATGTCAACTCATGCCTAAAACCCTAAGTACACCTACTTAACATCCATTAGATCTAAGCATATTCTGTTATAAAGACATTGATTAAAACTGATTGTTAAAATGCATCTTGCCCTTTGGACCGTTTAATCACTCGTAAACAAATTAGCAGTCTTTAGGAGCATAATTCCTTTGTTTATGACTTTAGCCCCGTTAAAATAATTTGGAAAACTACAGCATTTTATAATATTGAACAAGGTGAATGATGAAATACAGTTGTTTATAAAGTGATATTTTAGCCTAAACTATAGAGATTGCTCTGTAGTTTTTACTTTGATAGGTATCGGAGATACCGATTAAAAAATCGTTACTTAAACTTCCTAGGTAGTTACTGATCTCTTCTGAAGTATTTTTATTACTTAGTAGTTTAATAGTTAAACTTATTGGTAAGCATTGGGTTGAGTAAAATGGCATTTGAATCTCGGTAAAGTAATTTGTTTTGATCAGGTTGGATCTGACAAATCAATCAGTCTATAGTTTACGCGAGTAGTACACATTTAAATAAAACACTTTAACGGTTTTAAAACGCGATATATTAGTTACCTCCTGGAGACCTCCCCGTGACCACGGCTGCTGCAAAGCATCCGAAACGTCGGGCCGAAGTTAAAAATCATTTCCAAATAAGTTTAACTAATAGATCGTTTTAAACCGTTAAAGTGTTTTATTTAAATCAATCAGTGACAAAATAGCTCGTTGTCATGGACTATTTTTGTTAAAACACTAGGTAAATTAAATTGCGCATGATAGTATAGGTAGGTAAGTTAAAAATACACGAGGGTTCAGTGGTAGAGTTACAGTTTGTAACGCTGTGAGCTTATCAATATAGAAATAAAATTTGATATCTTTATCATAAGCTACTTGAAATAAACGTGGCTACTTGTTTGTCAAGATAGGTTTTCGTTATAAAACGTTATAAAATATTAAGGTCTTCCGGTTGCCAGTCGATATAACAGCGCAATTAATAACATGATTCTAAACGATACCTACGCGTCGCGTTCTGAAAGCTGAAACACATGAAAGCCGCTTTTTCCGCCTCACTGAAGCCGCGAACGATTTAATCCCGTGACGTTACAAAAACTCATCGCTCCAGAAACAAAGAAGCTTCCACATATCATTTTAAATATAATTCCCGAACAATATCCGACGCTCTTCGCGAGCACACATAGGCTAACACACTTATGATTATTCCATGTTTTTATCTTTCCGCGCTATGCTAGTATAGAGGACGGACGCGCTATGCGTCCCGAGGGCGACGGCGGGGCGGCGGACGCGGGGCGGGGGGCAGCCGCGCGCGCCGCGACGGGCGTGGTCGGGCTGGTGCCGCCCCCCGGCGCCCATCGCGGAAGGTGGTGGGGCGCGCGAGCCCCCGGCCTCTATTTACTCTTTCAATCAGTGCGAGTGTTTGCCCCTGGCCGGCGTGCACGCGCGGGTGATGCGCTAGCCATGATCTCGCAGAAGCTGTCGTACGGCGACGTGCCGACGTCCGCGTCCCTGTCCACGCTGTCGCCGGGCCTCGCGCCGCCCTACGTCAACGGAATGGGCTGCATGCCGGCGCAACCTTACCCGAACCTGTACTCCAACAACATGGTGGCGAGCGGGTCCTGCATGGGCTCCCCTGGCGTCGGCTACTCGCCGCCCAGCACCATGGCGTCCTGCATGGGCGGCGGCGGAGCGGTACCGTACGGAGCGCTGCCGCGGGAGCAGGAAGCGGCGTCGCCGACGTCGGCGCTGCAGCGCGCGCGCAACGACAAGACCTACAGACGCTCCTACACGCACGCGAAGCCGCCGTACTCCTACATCTCCCTGATCACGATGGCTATTCAGAACAATCCGTCGCGAATGCTAACCCTCTCGGAGATCTACCAATTCATCATGGACCTGTTTCCGTTCTACCGTCAGAACCAGCAGCGCTGGCAGAACTCAATCCGGCATTCGCTATCGTTCAATGACTGTTTCGTAAAAGTGCCGCGCACGCCCGACAAGCCCGGAAAAGGTTCGTTTTGGACGCTGCACCCGGACAGCGGAAACATGTTCGAGAACGGCTGCTTCTTGCGGCGGCAGAAGCGCTTCAAGGACGAGAAGAAGGAGTCGATAAGACAAGCGCAGAAGTCGACTCATCCGCACGGGCACCACGGCAGCGGACACGACAAGAGAGAGCATTCCCACGAGAAGTCTGTGCCGGGGGGCGAGGATAAGGAGATGCGGGACGAGTTGCTGGCGCAGCTGCACGCGGCGCCCGAGCTCTGTCTGCCGGAGCACACGCCGCTGGCGCTGGAGCACTACGCCCAGCTGAAGCAGGAGCCCACGGGGTACGCGCCGGCGCCGCACCCGTTCAGCATCACGCGGCTGCTGCCCGGCGCCGACACGAAGGCCGACCTGAAGATGTACGACGTGAACTACGGCTATGGGCACGCGCCCGCCGAAAATTACTACCAGTCACCGCTGTACCACCACCATGCGCACCACGCGCAGCCGCCCTTGTGACAGTATCCGCTGGCCTAGGCTAGCGCTGTCTGGCCTCGCCGGCTTCCCGCCCAGATGCCCCCGGTGTCCAGCGAACTCGTAAACTTCAAATCTCACTTGACAGACTCCCTGTGAGCGTGTTGTGTTGTGATAGCGCCGCTCGGGCCGAACTCTGTGTAAATACGCCCGGCGCCCGAGCGGCGGCCGAGATAGGCCTAACTCTTGGTGGACCCTCGGAAGTGTCCTTTGTATTTTGCACCGACGCCCATTCGTATACCACTTACTTACGAATTTAAACAGATACCTAAAGTCGGTCTCTAGAAGCGAGAGTGTTCGTTACTTCCGTATCTAAAAATAACATTTATCTTTATTGGAATAGTTCGATCCGCCCAAAACAATAACAAAAAAATTACATAACTCGCGAGCAATCGAATTAATGCGATCGATATTGTCCTTATCGAGTTATTATCGTTCGTCGTATTGATTCTTTGATAAAGCTATCTATCGAGAGCGCGTTGAATTCTTTCATTCGAAACAAATTCGGACTTAATCGGGAGTAAGAAACAACTTAATTGAAATTTTATAATTATAAAAATAATGTTCATTCGGTTTAAAGTCGAACCAGTAAAACTAACAAAAAGCTAGCTAGTGTTAATGTAATGAGGTAATCATCGAAGAATTGGGTATGTACGAATTTATATTTAGTATTTTTATTTATTACCATATACAATGTAGGCGAACAGGTTTAAAGATTTGGTATAAGAATGTGCGTTACGGGTGATGTCATATCGCGAACTGTGCAATGTTGTTTGTTTCAATTGTGTAATATAATTAAATTAATAGATAGACGAAATGGATATATAGTCTTTCGACCATCGTTTAGGCGTAGTTAAGTTTTGTATATATAGACGTAAGGTAAATTTATATATGACTTTAATTACGGTGTTTGGTGTAAGATAGGTACCTATCTACGCTTCTGCACATTCCATTTAAATATATATTTATATGCAAGTTTCAATTTAGCATTTTAACAATGCAAACGCACAAACAATTCTACATGACGGTTTAAAAAAGAACTAACCATTAATTTTACTTACGACCAGTTAAACAAATAATTATGTTTATGTACATAATAAGAACATAATAAAACATAATACAATTTAAAATATATGTTTGCAAAGGGATTTTAAACCTCTTAAAAAACGTTAAACGTCGAAAACCCGGAAAATCACTGAGTGAATTGATCTTCTGTAATTCTAAAAATATAGAAGATAATATTATTTTTTAAAAGTGCCTCTTTTCAAACTACTGCATTGCGTCATAACAACTATAAGTCACCTTCAATATGCTATGACCTTAAACGTTCAAAAGATTATTTCCTATTACTTGAATGTGAAATAAATATGTTAAAATTATTTGTACGTTTGTCAATTCTTAGCTCGATGTGAGTGCAAATTGATTAGGTATGCTAAATTAATTCTTGTAGCTATAAATACATATTGCATATTACTCGAATCTAGATAGGATACTTATATCATCTGTTAGTTCCAGAGTTAATAAAATTAAGTTTACAAAAATATCTGTCGTGTTATTTGTCACATTTCATTCAATAAGTCGAATTATAGCTCTGAAGAAATCATATTTTTTATGATACAGGGGACTATGAGATTAATTTAATGGAAGCTGAAATATTCCAACCATAAAATATTTCAAGAAAATATGCAAATGCACTGTAACACAAGTAGATACATACTTACTTAAATATATAAGCTTATGTTATAGCTTTTTGGTATAAAGTACACTAAAATCCCATTTCCTTAACATGGGATGGGACACAGTTACTTGTTTAAGAGGTCAAGGTTTTACCAATGCTGCTTCTAATTTTTTGTCGGTATTCGAATGCAGGACCTGTCAATTTAGTACAAATCAGGCGACGTGAAAATTGTTTTAACTATCTAAATACTTAGTAAGTGTTGCACATAATCCACACTATTCAACGTTGTGTTACTATTTTTAGACCTTAGCCCATTATAATTTTTATATAATGATGTAGACAGTATATAATATTAGTTATTTTCACCTTTATTCTGATCTCACACCAAGACGGCTTTGAAGTTCGACTTCTAAAAAAAGCCAAAAATAGTTAAATAGTTCGACAACACATCTTGTTTAGATGTTAGATGTCCTTGCTTCTCAGTCTTTAAAAAAAATAGGTCGCCTTTATGAGGTTACTCTTTACCTGCCGGCGCCCATATAATAAAGGTAATAAATATTTATCATACACTTTTACCGGCGGACATTTTCACTTTTGTTGTGCAAGGTTCCGGCCTCGAACCCACGACTGTCGTAAAGCTATAAACGGAACAAAAGGGGCAACGTGTGGATGCTGGTGTTAATTTGCCGTGTGTCGGCGAAAAGGCAGACTTAGTCTGGTAGTTAGTATAAGAAGGAGAGTCAAAGGCTTCATTGAAAGATAACATAAACAAACGCTGTCAAACTACTTTGCTTTGGTTATTCGGCCTGTTTTAGTTAAACGTTGATTATTGTAATTATGGAAATAATATCAGTAGCCACAGATTATAGAGTCGTTAATTTTTTAGACCTTTTATGGTTTAAAAATCGAAAATAAATTGAAAAATTTTTCGCTGACGCTGACGATGCTGGTTCAAGTCCTGCCCGAGTCGAAAATTTTTTCAATTTATTTTCGATTTTTAAAATATATTGTGCCTCCATGTGCAATAACATGTGAAAAATATTAATGTTTTCAAGCTTTATGGTTTCTAAAATCACTTCTAACTAGAATAGTTATCTCTACTATATTGTGCTTATCAATTTGTAATAATTTTCTTTACTCAATAACGAAGACTACTACAAGACTTACTAAAATAATTATAAGAAAGAAGTAAGAGATAATTTCGTTATTAGTAGATTTAATTTCCAAAATTCGCTCATGTTATCTCCCTATCGATAACTTCAAAAGAATGTAGATTTATGTATCATTAGTTATGTCAATAGGGGTGTGTCACTAAGAATAATTTAATTCAATAAGATATTAAAAAATAATGCCTTAAATGGAAAATCACATCTGTGGCGTTGCGGACACCAGGTTCTATTGAAAAGTCTTAGGTTTTAATCTCTTCAGAACTTGATCACAACGTATTATATTGCTGATCACTTTTCTGTACATGCAAAATTGTTTACACATTATTTTCGTGGATCTTCCTAAACTGGCAACACCGCGGGAACATTATCCGAATAATGCCCACTAATTATACCCCATATAGAAGGTTGTGAATGAACCTTTTTCTCAGCTCTGCGGGTGGTTTATGGCGACCATAAAGGTAACCACTCGACACCTCCGCCCGCCGTTTATATGAGAATTCATTGATATATTTGTCGAGCACGTTTAAAAAACTTTAATTAAGCAATAATATACTTAGTAAACTTTAGGGCTTTATATATGTTTTAGATCAATTAATTCGGTCAAGTAGGGCATATTAGTCTGCTTTACTCATCGATTTTATGTACAGGCAAGTTCATTGTTTGAATAAAACACTTTACGGTTTGAAATGCAATATATATTAGTTAAACGGCCTGAGGTTTCGGATGCTTTGCAGCAGCCGTGGACACGGGGAGGCAAACATATAAATATAACAAACCTTATTTTAACTTTAATGATTTTAACACAGGGAGACCACGTGACTACGACTGCTGTAACGCATCTGAAATTTCGCGCCGTGATTAAAATAATTTGTTAAGAAATTAACTAATTTGTTTTGGGTTTGAAATCGTTAAATTGTTTTTTTTTTTTAATAAAAGAGATATAATTAATATTGCTTCGGAGATAACAGAGTATTGAGACAGACAGAGACAAAACTATTTTTAGTTTGATGTTCGTATCTACTGTTTGTCAATTGTGTCACACTTAGCAAAAGTACTAAATATTTGTTGATTGTGATTAATTTCTCTCATTTAGTCGATAGCATATCTATGTGTTATATTGTTTTACATGTGAAATGATAACAAACAATTAAATTACTATCATTTCCCACGAACAAAGTATTGTGTAGGCGCATATTATAATGTTGATTTAACTAACTTGTTATTGAGAGCTACCGGGCTTAGACTCTAACGATCATTCAAACTTTACAAGTCATCAATTCTACGAAAGAAAGCCTTCTAGTCTAGAAAAATAGCCTCTATCTCAATGGACTAAGGTCCTATTAAAACCTTCGTTACGTCATATATTTTATAGTGAATCACTTAAAGACTTTTTTTCGGAGGTCGTTTTGTTATAGGCTGTGTACGTCAGTGTGGCCTCATGTCGACCTTTTGTGTGTGATAATAAAAATAAAACACTTTCTTTGTTCGACGTAACGGTGCGAGGTTGGAGAGCGGGTTCGATATTGTGTTAAATAAATTTCTTAGTTACAATTAAGGGCGTTTCGAGCCACACACGGCGTTGTAGGAAAAAACCTCTTGTTTTGACATTTAGATAATGCTCCTGTGATACAAATAAAGAAGACTTAATCTGAGTTTGTGTTCAAAATAGTGTGCTTTATATGTCCATTTGACAGCAATATTTTTGTGTCTGCTTCACTGATTGATTGTATAGTTTCGATCTTATTAGAGATTAGAACCGTTTTATAATTATCCATTGAGCCATAAAGGCGATCAGTGTATCACTGTAGATATAAATAGTAGCATAAATTTGCAATTACGAAATTTGTTTTAAGTGAAGATTTCTACTCATTTACAGTAGCTTTGATGCAAGACTAGTGCGCATTAGTATTTAGCGTGTACGTTAAACTTAATCGCGTGTAAGAAATGTGCCTATAATCGCAAGCAAAATGCTCTTAATAAAACTAACTTCCAAATATTTTTTTATTATATAAAGATTAGTAATTATAACAGTTGTGAATTTAATTTGCTTTGCAAAGTCAAAGTTTTTTCTTGAATGATACTTAGCACAGATAATATATATAATAAAATACGTATTAACATCTCCAAATATTGGTCAA